GGATAGTGCCTTTTGGACCAATAGATCTATGAGGATTTGAGTTTTTATTTACTGAGGACAGACCAATAGAGACCAGGGTGAGAACTTCTTTAAATACTAGAATTCATGCACCAGTGGGGTACCTCAGCCTGAGCTGTGCAATGGGGCCAAACCTGGCTCTCTGACATCCTTCAAGGGGTCCTGAATTGCAAGAGTGTGCAGGCCAGGCAGAGGGACCCCAATGGTGCACAATCAGGCCCAGGGAGGGATGCAGGAGGTTGACCAGCAGGGAGGGCTCCAGGGCATGTCTGGCCCATTTGCTCAGTTCTGATAGGCTTGACCCCAGCAGCAAGCTAACCTAGTCATCAGAGTGTCTCCCCTCTGGTGGTCAGTGTAAGTCATGGCAACTGGTCAACCGGTCAACTGTTTGCCCCTTGGTGGTCAGTGCATGTCATAGCGAGCAGTTGAGTGGCCTTAGCATATCATTAGCATATTATGCTTTGATTGGTTGACCAGACAACCAGATGACTGGACACTTAGCATATTAGGTTTTTATTATACAGGACTCAGAGCCCAGTGCACAAATTCATGCACCTTGAAAGGAACTATGGGCTGCAAGGCTGCGGTGGGCACATTTCCAATTGAGGAAATAGAGATGAATAGGGAACAAATGCCAGGGTTCTGACAGACTCCCCATGTCATCTTTGCAGGGAGAAGACCCGCACAAAGCGGGTGCAATACTGGAGATTTGTGTGGTTGCTGATAGGAAGGCCGCGTGCATGGGCCACCCAGAATCCCTACACAGTGGCACCAAGACTCTGCACCAGGACCACCATCAGGACCACTTGGGGGCCTTCAGGCCCCAAGGATGGCAGATGGGGAAATGGAAATGCATGGCTTGGCTTGGCTTGGCAGCCAGAAGGGGGGCTTGACCTTGAACATATCCTTCGTCTCTCTGAGCTCCTGCCAGCTGTCCCCCAGTGGGAACAGGGCGGGTACCCTCCATGCAGGATGGTAGCAATGAGCCTGCCTTGGAAATTCCAAAGTGCTCTGCTGCATGTCCTTTGCCCATCCTGATGGGTATTCCTGGGGCCTTCTAACCAAGACCAGGGCAGATGACAGTGACGGTGGCTGTGCACAGGGGAGATGCCTCCTAGAGACAGTCAGGGACACAGGAGCATTGGAGGGCTTCTTAGGTCATCGCGAGGTTGGGACTTGCCCTCTGATGTGATGGGAGCCATTGTAGAGGCTGAGTGTCCTTCTCTGGAGATAAAGTAGAAGGACAGTGAGAACAGCATCATCGTTCCCATGTTACACATAAGGAAACTGAGGCAAGGACTGCCCACGCAATGTCCATGGCTGCCCACTCCTAAAAAAGGACCCGCTGCTGTCAAAGGCTTCTTCACCCACTCAGCCTGTCTCCCAGCTCTCAGGGACCTCCCTGCGGGACTGCTTTCTCTACACCCTCCTCAGCATCCAGAACTGTCCCCTGGGTGGCGGATACACCCCACAAAGGTCCACACAGATGGCCATTCTGTCCCCACCCTCTGGCTCTGAGGTTCCTTCTAAGGTTAGCCTCATTTCTCTGTGTCTGCTTTTTCATTTTTGTTTCTCAGTTCATTCTGTCTCTCTCTCTCTCCTTCCTTTCTTAGATTCAATCCCTTTCTATCCACCCTTTTCTGCTCTCTTCTTGTCTCTTGTCACTTCCTTCTTCCCGTTTCTCTTCTTCCTCTCTGTAGGCAGCTCTCCTCTTGTCTGTAGTGCTCTGCCTTTCCTCCGCCCCATCTCTACCTCTGTCTCTAGCTCTGTCTCCTTTGCAATATTCATATATCTCCCTTCCTCCCTCCTTCTCACCCCCCAGAGGCTCCAGAGGAGACCTAACTGTAAATATTTGAAGATGCGCAGGCTGTTGTTGGAACACAGCAGAGATTAGTCTTCCTCGATGTTTGGTGTTCGTGGAGGCCTAATACCAGGGTCCCAGCTGCTAAGTGTCATGTGCTGGGAAATGACAAGTGAGCCTCACTGAGAGGATAAGCAAAGACAGCAATTGCTGTCTGTTTTACTATCAATTAAGTCCTGGCTTAGGCGCTGGTGGAGGGAGCCAGCAGCTGGGATGTCGGGGGGGGGGGGGGGGGGGCAGCGCTCCCAGTTCTCTCACCAGACCCCAGAGCAAGCCCTTTCTTCTAGGCTTCAGTCCCCTCATCTGCAAAATTGAGGTTATCATCTTTCCTGCTCCACAGGAGCCTGGGAGGTCTCAGCCCTGAGGTTCGTCTCTGGGAAAAGACACCCAACTCAGTGGGACATGTGGGCTGGGTCTTCCCTGAGCCCCTGCCCAACCTCCTGAGATGCCCTCCCTGCCTTACAGTGGGGCCTGGGAAGTGCTTATTGAATGGGTCAATCAGCATGAAATTAGGACAAAGAGGTGCCAGCCTCACAGACCCTGCTCAGCCGAGGACCCGAGGGGACATCACAGTCAGTGCACAGTTCATCCTCCCACACACGTTTCTACCCCCTCCACTCCTTTACGGAACTTCTTCCCAGGTAACATACCCCAAGGTTGCCCACACTGTTCACTGTCTGTCTCTGTCACACACGCGCGCGCGCACACACACACACACACACACACACACACACGGCAGCGCTGTGAGGCGTTTCTGTCACTTCTATTCACTGCTAGGCTCCCAGTGCGCACACAGCCCCTGGCACATCAGACATCCAACAAGCGGTTGCTGAGAGAGCAAACATGGGAGTGAGTGAATGGAGTGGCAAACAACAGAGTTGGGGTGGGGGGCTTAGGTAAACACCAGCGCCCAGGTTCACTTTTGAGTTTTGGATTCTCTTGGGTTCAGTTGAGACCCAATCATGAGGACTTTTTAAGTCCCCAGATGCTGTTAACGCAAAGCCTGGTTGGGAACCACTGTCTTAACCCTGAGCACCTCCTCATCTGCTGCTGAGCATCTTTAGGGGTTCCAGATGCTCTCAAAATATAATCAGAGTGGAGTGGAGTGGAGTGGAGTGGAGTGGAGTGGAGTGGAGTGGAGAGGAGTGGAGTGGAGTGCAGTGGAGTGGCGTGGAGTGGAATAGAGTGGGGTGGAGTGGAGTAGAATGGAATGGAGTGGGTGGAGTGAAGTGAAGTGGAGTGGAGTGGAGTGGAGTGGAGTGGAATGGAGTGGAATGGAATGTAGTGGAGTGGGGTGGAATAGAGTAGGGTGGAATGGAGTGGAGTGGAATGGAGTTGGGTGGAGTGGAGTGGGGTGGAGTGGAGTGGAATGGAATGGAGTGGAATGGAATGGAGTGGAGTGGAGTGGGGTGGAGTGGAGTGGAATGGAGTGGAGTGGAATGGAGTGGAGTGGAATGGAGTGGAGTGGAGTGGGGTGGAGTGGAGTGGAATGGAGTGGAGTGGAATGGAGTGGAGTGGGGTGGAGTGGAGTGGGTGGAGTGGGAGTGGGGGGTGGGAAAGCGGAAACTATGTGGGGGTGGGTGGCTGGACTGGAAGGAGTGGAATGGAGTGGAATGGAGTGGAGTGGAGTGGAGTGGAGTGGAATGGAGTGGAGTGGAGTGGAATAGAGTAGGATGGAGTGGAATGGAATGGAATGGAATGGAATGAAATGGAATGGAATGGAATGGAATGGAATGGAATGGAATGGAATGGGGTGGAATGGAATGGGGTGGAATAGAATGGGATGATTCCAAACCTTGCTCAATCATCAGCCCCTCCTTACCATGGACCATGGGCACTACCATCCTGCCTCCTCTCCACCCTCCCCTCTCTCTCACTTCACCTCCCATCATTCTCCCTCAATTCTTCTTCCTTTCCCTCAATTACATAAACCTGTTCCTACCTCAAGGCCTTTGCACTTACTGGCACCTGCCTAGTCAGCTTTTTCCTCACATAGCAGCTTCCTCATTGAGGTCTCAGCACAATGCCCCCTCCTCCAAGATGCCCTCGCTGACTGTCTTCTGGCAGTAGTGTCTCTCCCAGCCACACTCCAACTCATGAGCCTGTTTTATGTTCTTCACAACACTAACTACTATCTGAATTTCTCTTATGTATTGTTGGTCCACGTTTTTATTGGCTGTTTCCATGCAGGTCAGTAAAGGCAGGGATCTTGTCATCCATTCACACCAAGAACAGTTCTTGACACATAGTAGGTATTTGGTAAACGTTTATTGAATGAGTGAGATTCTTTCCCAGTATCCGTCAGTTCCTTGAGTATACACGTTTTATTCTGTTTTTATTCATTTTCTTTCCCCTAGCAGGATTCCTCAACGTTGGCACTGCCAACCCGTGGGCCTGGGTCCTTCTCTGTTGTTGGCTGTCCTGGGCACTGTAGGATGTTAGCAGCTCCCTGGCCTCCACCCACTAGATGCGAGTAGCTCTCGTTCCCAGTTGTAAGAACCAAAACTATATCTAGACTGCGTCAAATGTCTCATTCCCAGTTGAGAACCCCTGCCTTGCATTTGTCCCATTCATTGCTGGACACGCTGAAAAATATTTTGAAGGTCTGCCTCTGACGCAGTTCCACCATATGACCAGAAGATGGCAGAAAAGACCGCCTTTTCATTGGCATGGTTGTCATCACTTTAAAAAAATTTTTGTTTTGTTTTGTTTTTCCTTCCTCCACCCCCACCACCGCCCCACCACCGCCCCCCCCCTCCCGCAGCCTGATAACTGATTTCGCAGCCGTGCTCACTCACCTAGGTGGGGTTCTGAGAGCATTACCCCCACTTTACACTTTTCCAGACTACACAGAAAAGCAGCAGCAGCTGCATCCTAACCCAAACGCAGATAGAAAGTGGATGGTGTAGGCCAGTGTTTCCCAAAGTGTGCTACGCGTACCCGCAGGGGTACGGGAATAGTTTGGTGGGAGTATGTGTTGCACTGGAGTTTGGTGGGGATATGCACTTCACCGTGCTTAGCTGCACCTAATTCTACGTTCTCATGAGTACAAGGGGTACTCAGCATTACGAAAATTATAGAAGGGGTACACATATGTCAAAAGTTTGGGAAACACTGGTGTAGGCCAAGCATGTCAAATTCCAAGGCTAACATGGACCAAATAAATGAGGCATGAGGCCCGTGAGCCGCGAGTTTGACATGCTTGGATAGGCAGTGTCAGGAGTGGAAAGAAAATCATCTTGGAATCAGGCAGATCTGAATGTCAGCCCAGCTGTATTCCTTTCTCCCCCAGTACCCTCAGCCAGTTAGCATGCCTGAGTCCCACACAGTAACCATGGCCAGACGGAACCTGCTCAGAAAGGCTGTGGTAAAGGACTGAGCACTGTTTCAGAAGGAGGAATATGCCACTAGCTCTGCTGTGCACCTCTGTGCACCTTATCTAACCTTTCTGGTCTTCCATGCCCTTACCAAAGAAGAGGAACTGACCCAAAGGGCAGTGAGGATGAAATGAAGAAGGAGCAGGCTCACAGAGGCTGCAATCTGTAACGCTCTGTTTATGAAGGGTTTGTTTTTTGTTGTTTTACAGTCCCACACTCCCTCGGCCTCCTCCAGCCCACAGCACACACAGCCACATGAACATAGCATACACACACAGGCGCTAAGGACAGCAGGCCCTGAGCTCAGTCAGCATCCTGGGGTTAGCCCCTGGCCTCCACTGGTGGTCTCTGTGGAGCAGGAGACCACAGCCCCCCAAGATGGGTCCCGGAGGCCCAGGCCAGCCTCCCTCCCACCACCCCAGGCCTCCAGACTCAGATAGCCTGGTCCTGCCGCCGTCTCAGGCTGAGCACACGGGCCGCTGCCAGGAAGGCTGCCCCGGTGAGCAGCTCGGTGAAGAAACTGACCCAGCCCAGGGCCAGGGACCAGCCAAAGCGGATGTCCACCTGGTCCAGCAGGGCCGTCTCCTCCAGCAGACACAGCGCCTCCCGGAAGGCGGCAGCCGAGTACGCGATGTACATGCTGATGCCGGTGAGCGTGACGAGAGCTGCGGGGGACAGAAGAGAGCAGATCTAACCCCACCGTCCTCCCCAGCCGGCCACCCTGCCCTCCCCAAGCTCGTCCTCCTTCCACCCCAAGGCCTTTGCCCAAGCCGGTCCACCTGCCCCGGGCACCCTTCCTTCCTTTCCCTTCCTCAGGCCATCCCTTAACGCCTCTCCATCCCCTTATCCCAGCTCACGTGTCTGCTCTGGTCAAACCCCCCTGAAGCCTCACAGCCTCCACATAGCCCTCCGTCATAGCCCAGGTCAGAACTATAATTTTGCATTTATTTGTTTTGAGGTTGTTTTGTTTTGTCTTGTTTTCCATCCATCAGTTTATAATGTTACTTAGATTCCACTTATGAGTGCAATCATGTGATACTTGTCTTTCTCTGACTGACTTATTTCACTTAGCAGGATACTCTCCAGGTCCCTCCATGCTGTCTCAAAGGGTTAGAGATTCTTTTTTACAGCTGCATAGTATTCCATGTGCATAACTGTACCACTGCCTTTTTATCCACTCATCTATGGATGGGCACTTGGGCTGTTTCCAGATCTTAGCTATTGTCAATTGCACTGCTATGAACATGGGGGTGCATCCATTCTTTCTGATTGGTGCTCCGGGTTCCTTAGGATATATTCCCAGGAGTGGGATCACTGGGTCACATGGCAGGTCCGTATTTAATTTTCTGAGGAAACTCCATACTGTTCTCCACAGTGGCTGCACCAGTCTGCACTCCCACCAGCAGTGCATGAGTGTTCCTTTTTCTCCTCATCCTCACCAGCTCTGGTCATTTGTGGACTCATTGATGGTAGCCATTCTGAGAGGTGTGAGGTGCTACCTCCATGGTGCATTTATTTGTGAAATGACAACTAATGTCTGTCTGCCCAGTGAGCTGAGTTCCAGAGGCTCCTCCTGGATTCCCCGGCACCCGGAACAGAGTGTGGCACAAGGTGGGGCTGCAAAGAAGTAATTAGCGCCGTGCTGCCCAGTCCTGGAGCCCCGGCCACACGTGATGGTGCAAACTTCATTGCAATGGGCAGCTCAGCCCTTCATTGGCACCCGCCACGTGGCAGGTGCTCCGTAGCCTGGTCTATGGCTCCCGCCCTACACAGCGCAGGGTAGAGAACTTTGCCATCACAGGAAGTTCCACAGGGAGCGCTGGGTTCGAGACATGGTCGTGGGTGGACTATTAGTGCCGATATTAACAATCACCGTGGGTGGTGGAGAGGCTCTCTGCTCTATCTCCACCTCCGCCCGTTCCTTTCACTGTTTCCCTCCAGGGACAAGCATGCGTGTCATCACTGTGTTGGTTGTGTTTTTAAGGAGGAGGAAAGGGCCTGGGAACAACCAGCCACGTGCTGCAGCCCATCTTTGGAAGCCTCGGTGTGCAAGCCGTCAGAGTGATATCTGTGGAGCAGCAGGTGCACAGGAAAGTAGGCACCAGGGCTGGTCCCTGACAGCCCACTGCCTGCGGTGGCCGCTCCCCCTGTTGCTCCTTTGGTAAATCTCGGGAGCAATTCTCAAATCCTGCCCCTCCCCTCTGCCTCCCTCCTGGGCCGCAGACCCAGGGCCCTGGGCTGGACACGCCTCATTCTTCCATTTGGGAGGTCACCAATGGGGAAGCTGAGCACCAGAGGCGATGGGACTCCCCCCCTTCCCTCCCCTACTGGGGGCTCCTCACAGCCGCTCCAGCAGCCTGAACCCCAGGTCAGGTGGGCACCTACCTCCAAAGAGGAAGAGGGCCCCTGTGAGCAGCAGGAGGAGGGAGGTTCGGAGGAGGAAGCTCAGAAACCCCGTCATCCCCCCAAAGATCATGAGGATGAGGCTGAAGGGGAGCAGAATCACGAAGGTCCCGTGCATGGCTGCGGAGAGAGGGGGGCAGGCGAGGGTTACCAACACCATGCAGCCGGTCAGCAAGCATTTCCTGAGCACCTCCTGGTTTTAATTAACATGGCCATTACTATTACTAACAATAATAACAATAGTTACCAAGGCTCATCTGTGCAAGGTTTGTGTCGAACCCTTAATTCTGGGCCCCTGCGAGGTAAGCGTTATTACAGTTCACTGGCTCATTGGCACAGTGACTAAGTGCATTCTGTGTGCTGGGCACCTTGGCCCTGCCGGCTCAGGAGCAAACATGCCAAGCCTTTGCCCCTCATGAGGCTGATATTTAGGGAGTGGAGTCCAGCAGTGAACAAAGACACAAGTGACTGAGTTGAGAGGTGGTGACAAATGCTCGGGAGGGGAGTGAACAAAGCAGAGGGTGGTTCGGGCAGTGGTTCCCCTGAGGAAGTGACCTCCCAGTCAAGACCTGAGAGAGGTGAGTGAGGCTGGTGCTGGGTGAAGGGCAGGGTCACAGGTCAAGACGGGAGTGTGCCCGGTGAGGTGGAGTCCCCTGGGGAAAGCGGGTGAGGGCGGCAGGGAATTTTGGAACAGAGAGGTACACACATTACAGAGCATGGTCAGAACTCCCATTACAAAATCAGAAAGTGAAGTATGGTAGCAACCATACTTAGATAAAAACTGCTGTTTGAATTTTAACCCTGCTATTCTGGCTTCGGCACTCGCTTACTTGCTTAAACAATAGGGTAGTTACCTCAGCTTCAGAGTGAGACCTGGAAACTCACAAAGGTAACTTTCCTGTGCCTGTGGACCAGGACCATTGATTCCACTGACTCCGTAGCTCCGGGAGTTGAAACTGCAGGTAATCTTTAGAGATTACCCGTATTTTCCGGCGTATAAGACGACTTTTGAAATGAAAAAAAGTCAACCGAAAATCGGGGGCAAAAGACAAAAATTGCACAAAAATTACCTGCAGATCTTGGCGGCAAAGTAAGTCTTTTCTTTGAAGTGGGGGGTAGTCTTATACAGCAAATATGGGCCTAAACCTATGTTTTAACTGTAAAAATTCGGGGATCGTCTTATACGCCGGAAAATGTGGCTGACTCAGTTCTGCTTCTGTACTATCTGCTATCACAAGATAGGGCCACACTCCAATGTCGAGCAGAATGTGGCTGGGAACAACCCTGCAGGCTGTTCCCAGCCTTTAGAATTTAGAATTTAAAATTTAAAACAAAGAAAAATCTTTGTGGTTTAGACCTTTAAAAGGACTGCCTACACCTGGGATGGCGTGGTCATGAGTGTGGACTCCACCTGTGGTGGTGCTCTCACGGCCTTCCTAGCCAGTCCAATAAATCCTTGCCTCTTTTTTTTTAATCAATTAGCAGCCTCCAGTGGTCTTATTTTGACTCCAGGGTTCAACCCCACAACAGAAAGTAGAAGAAAATGAATTACGTGGAAGCCAAGACCCATGGTGATGGGGTGGGGTGGGGAGAGGGCTGGAGGGCCTCTGGGTTTTCAAGATCTCCACTTTGGCTCTGAGCTTCCTGGCAGCCAAAGCAGAAAGGAAACAATCGCAAACTTTTTGTTCACCAGGCATTCATTCACCAAATAGGTCTTGGTCATTTGCCGGGAGCTGGGAACCGATCTCTTTAAATCTTTTTGGCAGCCAGCTAGGCGTGACCACAAACCCTGTCCTCTCCCCTCGGTGCCAGTGGAGCAGCAGTCCTGCCGGAAGCCAGTCCCTGCACCACACCTGCCACACCCTTCTCTGGGCCCTCAGCTCCCCCTCTCAGTCCTGGCTTTTGCTCCCTGGTGTTGAGGCATCTTAGTCACTTTTCTGTCTCTCCTGCTGAGCTGTGAGTTCCTTGATGAGCCAGATCATGTATCCTTCTGTGCAATGGTGTCCCTGCGCTTCTAGTCAAGCTCTTAAGATAAGGTGAGTGTTCAACAGGCATTTGTGGATCTAATTACTTAAGAGCTAAAACAATACAACTATGGCAGTGTGTGTGGTTTTTTACAGTGTGCTTAGGATGTACCTGTGCCTCTGGTGTGTGTGTGTGTGTGTGTGTGTGTGTGTGTGTGTGTGTGTTTTAGAGGGGGAGAAAGATAGAGATGAAGGAGAGAGTGACAGAGACTAAAGAGGAAAAATACATCTTTAAGTATTGGAGGGTTTTTTAATGTTGCCTCCTTTATTTGCACCCATGCTACACCACACCCAATTCCGTCAAGAAGAAGTAAATAGAAAAGCAGCTGGTCATGCATCGTGTGCTGGGACGTGACTGTGCTGAGACAAACTGGGCGTTTTTCATTGGCATAGCTAACCATCCCGCTGTTTCCTCCTTCCCGGCATGAAGGAGGCCACACAAATCTGCCCTCGGATTGGGCAGGTCATATGTTCCTGGCCCGTATGGAGCTAGAGGAAGGGCCAGTATAGAGAGAGGGGAAAGGCCAGTGAAGAGCGAGAGGAAAGGCCGGGCAAGGTGAGAGAGCAAAGGCCCTCGGGCACCTGTCTGCCCTCGCTGCTGGGTTCCTAGGAGGCCTGTGGCTGGGAGGCGGTTTCTAAGAAACCAAGGAAGCTTGTGAGATGGCCTCACTGTGGCTAAATGCATGGCTTTCAGGGCCAGGAGGTCAGCGTTTGAGGTCAGGCTGTGACCTGGGCCTTGGCCTCATCCCTCAGAGACCCGTCTCCGCAGAGGTGAGATGGAGGTGATGCTACATGGCAGTGGGGACGCATAAGGCATTCAGTCTGTGTCTCGTAGACAGAGTAAGTCCTCACTAAACCCTCAGCCTGCAGTGATAAGGATGGTGAACAATTCAGTGTGACCTCCACTGTGACCACGTCACCTTGTCTTCACTCGCTAAATGCTGCCACCCTTGGTGAGGCAGGAAAAGGAGACTGATCTCTATGCACCCGCCCCTCTCCCCCCTTTCCCCACTCTTACCCTCCTTCTCCTCCCCCCGCCCCCCCACCCCAGGCTGTCAAGGGAGAAAATGTGATTGGGGGAGGACACCCGTGGCCTCCCTCTCTGGGTCCCTCCCTCCTTTCTCCCTTTCTTAAGGAAAATCGAGGGCAAGAAGCATAGCAGCTGGTGTGAAACCTGGTTGTGCGGCTCGGCACCGGCTGGCCGTGCCTCCAGACGCCGAGTGAGAAATAAAATCATTTCTCATTTAGAAATTAATGAGGTTTCCCAGAGCCGCCTCCTCCGGCGCCCGCGCACAGGGTCCCCAGATGCTCCGCCAGCTGACTTGATGTACGCATTCAATTAAAAGCCCGGGAAGAACAGCCCCCTCCCCCCTCCACCGGAGAGTTGCAAGAGCCTCTGCTGAAATTTAGTTTAGCGTCTTTTATATTTTTTTCATGGGCCCTCGTCTTCGTTATTTCTGAATTTTTCCTGCAGTCTCGGAGCAGGAATGCTGTCCTCTCTGCCTACCTGCCCCTTGCCAGCCACGTAGCTTTCAGAAACTAATGCTTTGGGCTGTGAGAAGGGGTGAGCTCTGACCAGAGCCCAGGACCAGCGAGGAAACAGGAGGCAATCACAGACCTGGATGTGTCCAGAGGAAATAGGGATGATGATGAATGGGGGGAGGAGGCAGTGAGAGAGGCACCTCTTTGGATACAGGGGTCCTATTTGTTTGGCATTAGTTTCCTTGGGCTGCTGGGACAAATCACTACCAACCAAGCGTCTTAAACACAGCAGGGCTTTCTTCCCTCGTGCTCTGGTGGCCTCACGTGCAGAATCAGGGTGTCAGCCCAGCCACGGTCCCTCAGAAGCTCCAGGGGAGAACCTTCCCCGCTTCTCCAGCTCCAGGGGTGGCTGACCACCTCTGACAGTCCTTGGCTTGGGGTAGCCTCATGCCAACATCTACCTCCATCTCCATTCGGCCTTCTTTGTTCTCCTCCGATTCTTCTTTTCCTATCAGGGCACTTGGTCTAGGTCTGAGAGCCCACCAATTCAACTCAGGATGATCTCTTCTCAAGATGCATTGCTTAATTGCATCTCAAAGGCATTGTTTTCCAAATAATGTCCCATCCCCAGGTACAAGGACCTGACTTGGGGGGTGACACCTTCCAATCCCTTATAGTTTACAGTGGGGACGCAGCAGGTGACAGCTGAGGTCACTCTGTAAAATGAATAATAATGTTGGCAGGCAGTGGCTTCATCAAGGGCAAATGTGCCCCCAGGGAAAGGATCTTTTTGACTCAAAAAGGCTTTGTTGCTAGACCACCACCTGAGTGAGAGAAGATATTTGCAAATGATACATCTGATAAAAGATTAATATCCACATTACCCTGTTTCCCTGAAAATAAGACAGTGTCTTATATTAATTTTTGCTCCCAAAGATGTGCTAGATCTTATTTTCAGGGGATGTCTTATTTTTCCATGAAGAAGAATATGGTATACATTCATTGTTAAATGAAAATAAAGGAAATTTATTACCTGTATATGGTACGGTAGTACGGTAGTTGTCAACACAAACCAGACAAACTGTGAATCCTATAGTATCAAGAATTTACTCATTTATTCAATGACAATCATGTCATCATCTTCTGGAACATCATCATAACAATCCAATTCCTGAATTTCCTGGTGAATTTCTTGTGACTCCATTTCTTTTAGAATCAGTGGACCAAATCTCTCATGTTTAGCCTAGGCCCTAGGGGGTCCTTATTTTCGGGGGATGCCTTATATTTCACTCAGAAGGAAACCTGTAAGTAGGTCATATTTTCGGATGATGTCTTATTTTCAGAGAAACACGGAATATAAAGAGTGCATACAACTTAACACCAAAAAACAAACAATCCAGTTTTGATTTTTTAACGGGCAAAGTGCCTAAATAGACACTTCTCTAAGGAGGACATTCAGCTGGCCAACAGACACATGAATAATGCCCAGTATCACTAATAATCAGGAAAAATGCACATTCAAACCATAATGAGACCTCACCTCACACCTGTCAGAATGGCTATCATCACCAAACAACAAGTGTTGGTTGAGATGTGGAGAAAGGGAACTTTCACACACTGTTGGGCAGGTTGTAAATTGGTGCAGTGACTGTGGAAAGCAGTGTGCAAGTTCCTTTAAAAAATTAAAAATATAGCCGAAACCGGTTTGGCTCAGTGGATAGAGCATCTGCCTCCGGACTGAAAGGTCTTGGGTTCGATTCCGGTCAAGGGCATGTACATTGGTTGGGGGCACATCCCCAGTGGGGGGTATGCAAGAGGCAACTGATTGATGTTTCTCTCTCATTGATGTTTCTGACTCTCTATCCCTCTCCCTTCCTCTCTGTAAAAAATCAATAAAATATATTATTTTAAAATTAAAAATATAACTACCATATGACCCAGCAATTCCACTTCTGGGTATTTATCCAAAGAAATATAAAATATTAGCTCAGAAAAAGTATATGAACTCCCATGTTTATTGCAGAATTATTAGTTATAACCAAGACATGAAAGCAACCTAAGTGTCCACTGATAGACAAATAGATAAAGAAGAGATGATGCATATACACAATGGAAATGACTCAGCCATAAAAAAAAGAATGAAATCTTGCCTTCTGAAAAGGCATGGATGGACCCAGAGGGTATTGGATGAGTGAACCAAATCAGCCAGAGACAGACAAATAACGAATGATTTCACATATATGTGGAATGCAAAAATAAATAATCAAATAAAAAAAAGTGCTTTGTTACAAGGAAAAATAAAGCAACCCCTGAAAGAAGCTACGGAAAGCTGTGCTTGTGACTGCTCCATGCTCACACTGTTCAAAGAACCGCTGGGTGGGAAATTGGGGCTCTCGAGATCAGGGAGCCCCAGATGGTTGGCTAAGTCACAGATCTACTCTTAAAGACAGCAGGCACATGCCTTTCCTCAAGAAACATCAGAGTGAGGTGCACCTAAGAGCCAATTCCAGTTGTGTCTGGAACATGCTCAGCTCTGTCCTGCCTCACACCCCTGCACCAGCTACTCCTCCTCGTCTCTGGATGCCTGTCTGGAGGAGGCAGAGTGCACAGTAGGGCTCCAAACCCAAGAAAGGCCAGGAGCTCCTCCTCTGGACTGACGTAGCCTCCGGTCTTAGTACACTCATGTGATACTGAAATTATACCTGGTGTGCCATCACTCTAAAAGGGTAGAAACTGCCTGGGTTCAAATTCCAAGTCTTCCAGTTACTGTGCAAACTTTGGTAATTTACCTAACCTCTCTGTGCTTTGCTTTCCTAGTTTGAAATGTGACGATAAGAACAATGGTACCTGCCTCTTGGGATTGCTGTGAAAGCTCCATTTTACTGATGAAAAGCCTGAGGCTAAGGGAAGCAATATGGATGAGAGGAGGGGGAGATGTTAATTGTGCTCCTGCTGTGAGCAGTGCCCTCTACACTGGGTGCTTTGCTTCTGTGACCTCATTTCATCCCAAAGCAGCCTATTTAAGGAAGCAGGTGACTGGCCAGAAGTCACACAGCTGATAAGAGGTGGGCCTTTATCTATGATAGGGCTGACCTCATCCCTCCTGACAAGTAGCAGGTAACTCAGGGCCAGTTAGCACAACCCATCCCCTCCACCATAGTGATTGGCTCAGGCCTGGGCATGTGATCTGGTCTGGTCCAATGAGAAGCCTACCTGAAGGTTTTTGCAGAATTATTTAAGAAAGTCTCCTTCCGCTTGGGTTGCTAAGACTGGAGAGGGTTTGAAAACAGAACCCAAACAGAAGCAAAACCCAGAAAGGAAAAGAAAGAAACTGAGTTTAGTTCTCTGGGTGCCAGAAGGTTGGAGCTTTCCAGTTTCTTGGACCAGGAAGCAAGTTTAAACAAGTACGAGTTGAGTTTCTGTCACTTGCCATCAAAAGTCTCCCGGCTGATACAAGACTGTGGCTCTTTTACCTCCACTGTGCTGAATTGGATGACCTCTCTTCACCAAAAATTATTCCAGGCCCTGCCTGCTTGGGGACAAACCCAGGTTTCTTCCCATGCTCCCCCACTAGAGCTTGGCCAGGAAGCTGACCCAGAAAACATGCTGCCTTGACAACTGGCCCCTCTCCTTCATGGCCTCTCAGAGGGTCCTTAAAGAACTAGAATATCTCCACATAACCAAAGATCTTGGATAAGATTCAAAATCAGTTCTGGGGATAAAAAGATTCTGGGAAAAGCTCTCTCCAGGGTGATCTACAGCAAGCACACGGCCTGAAGGGGCACCCTGCTCTCTTCCATGGGTGACACAATGGTATTGTAATAATAGCAGCTACCACTTAAGGGGCACTTACAGGGCCAAGCAGTGCCTACGGCTCTTTAAAAACACTCTCCCATCTCATCCCTGCATATCCTTATGAAAAGAGATGGCAGGGATGCTCATTCTCCCCGGGAGAGGTATAGAAGCTCAACCAGGCCACATACCTCGTTGGCAGTGAAGCTAGGGGTTAGACCTAGGTCAGAGGGTGAACAGAACAGACTCTGGGTTTGAGTTTTGCCTGTTTCTTAAAGTCCTGGAGCACACAGGGGTGTTCCATCATCAAGTTTCACAAAAAAAAAATAGCCAGACCAGTGCCACCCAATTTACCCATAGATGTGATAAGTAGGCAGAATGCCAGCACCCAGGCCAGTGAAGGATCAGCACTCCATAGATGAAGCCACTCATCAAGAGGCTGGAGGAATGGTCAAGAGGCCTTGCCTTTATTGAGCACTTATTGTGTGTCTAGCACTTTTATATGAAATCATTCTTTCACGCAGCATAACATCCCACAGTAACCAGGCCCTATGTGAGGTGCAAGGTAAAGTTATATTTTTTTCTCCCAGCTAGTTTGTGGGAGCCTGACTAGACCCCCTAATGGTTTGGACATCTCATTTTGATAGATGTGGAAACAGAAGCTCAGAGAGAGGTTAAGACACCTATCCCCGGTTCACAGAGGGATTTTGAGCCCCATCTCCCTTACTTCAAGGGCAGGAACTTTTGATTATTCTTGAAACAATGCTCCAGGAACACCCAAAAGTTCCCCCTGGTCCAGCTTGGGGCTGAGGAGAGAGTCCTTGGTACCTCCATCGTTTGCCAACCTCTCACATATTCCCTGGAGGATGTCTCCTTCAGTGCAGTAGTGTGCTGGAAGTGAGTCATATCAGCTCACAAGAATCAACTATTACAGTTTAGGGATGAGCCAATCAACATGATGTTGATAGTTTGAAATTGACCACACTGAAAATATTTACACCACAGAAATTGGCAAATGCTATAAATCAAGACTCTCCTCTCCCCGAGAGCCAGTTATTCAATATTTCCTAGCAAGCCACTGGACTACAGAGAAACAGTTCTGGTTCATTCATTTACTCATTCATTCAACAAATATAAACTGAGTTCCACCTCTAACATATAGTCTGCATTCACTCTCAGAAAACCTTGTTTCATGGCCTACTCTATGCCAAAACCTCTGCTAAATATTGGGGATTCAGCAGTGGCAAGACAGGCATGGTCCCCACCTTCATGGAGCTTACAGTCTAATGAGGGCATCAGATTGTAACCCCCAAAAGGTCACACAACCTATATTAGGAGTAGAAGCTTGACCAAGTCAAGCTGGCAAGTAGGAACAGACAGAGACTCCCGGTAGAGGGTATGGCATGTGCCAAGTCCCCGTGGCCAGAGGAAACTTGGCATATTCTCAGAACTGGCCCAAGGCCAGCATAGTCCATTGTTGGGAAGAAAAGAGCAAAGAGTAGCATGGACTTGGAAAGGGACTCTGGCAGCCCTGGTGGGTCATGTGAGAGACAAGCCTCAGTAAGTCTATCAGAAACGGCCCACATTTTGCAAGGTCTATGGAACTCAGTCCTCATGGCCTCATCAGATTCTTTCTCCGGCACCTCTGTGGGCCTCAGTTTCCTTGCTGGAAAAAATGAAGATGGAAATGGAGGCGGTGGGATTAAATGACGACACAGATGGAAAGCATCTGGCTACATGTATGGCCCGCTACAAGCCTTGATGAAATGAACTATTACGCTCATCTCCCTCCCTCCACAAGTGTTCTTTCGGCCCCTGTTTGCTTTCTTACATTCCATCCTTACACCTTCACTGAGTTCCAGGCACTATGGGGGCCACTGACAAGAGTTGGGCCTTTATCTATGGTAGGGGTGGCCGTGTCCCTTGTTATAAGTACCAGGTCGTTTAGTTATGTGGGAAATCAGCCTTGACCAAGACAGACACCATGGCCCCTTGGAGGGAGAGGGCTGCTTTCTGCCTCCGAATTGCCTTCCCTGAATCATTCAGCAAATATTTATTCCATCCGGCTACAGCCAAACAACTCCTCCTCAATTTCTCACCTCCCTCCCTCGCTTCTGTATCTTCAACAGTGAGGACACAAATAAGGCTGGCATGGGGCGTGTGCCTGGTGGTCTACAGGCTAAAGCCTGCTCTCTTTTCGTCATTCAGCTCTCCAGCTGGTATAGGGTGTCTCCATAGATCACCCACCCTCCCTCATGCTGCAGTCACTCTACAATGCAATTGCGGCCCAAACCAGTTTGGCTCAGTGGATAGAGCATCAGCCTTCAAACTGAAGGGTCCTGGGTTCAATTCCGATCAAGGGCATGTACCTTGGTTTAGGGGACATCTCCAGTGGGGGGAGAGGGGGTGCAGGAGGCAGCTGATTGATGTTTCTCTCTCATCAATATTTCTAACTCTCTATCCTTCTCCCTTCCTCTCTATAAAAAAATCAATAAAATATCTTTAAAAATAAAATAAAATAAAATGCAACTGCGAATTCCCACATCTGTCTCCCCAGCGAGTCTGCGCGCTCCTGGAGGGCAGGCAGGCTTGGGTCTCCCTCCTCAGCACCCTGCCCAGAGCTTAGAAAGCCTGTAGGCAACGTTTGTGGAAAGAATCCTAGACCGCACTGGTGGAGCCAGAGAGCCCTACTTACTCCCTCCTCCCGCCCCTCCGCCGGCCTGTGGGAGACGGGCTCCCAAACTGGTGGCCAGCCCTGGGCTCTCCCTCCAAACCCCCCCGGACTCACCGAGAAGTTGCCGGCTGGAGTCGCTGACCGTCACGTTCTCCTGCCAGAAGGGGTTCATCAGCGGCGCGCACGGGCTCTGGACTGGAGGGGGCAGAGTCAGCAGTGGCCCGGCGCCCTGGAGTTGGGGACCCGGCCCGCAGGTGCTCCCAAGCCCGCGTCCCACCCCCACCCCCACCCCCACCCCCACCCCCACCCCTACCCCCACCCCGGCCCTCAGATGCCCCACCGGGAGCGCGTGTGCAGAGTAGGTCCCAGAGGGATGCTCCCTGCCTCCCGCCGCCCGCCCGCCCCGGGACAGACAGCTCAGCGGAGGGGTGCGCGCGCGCCCAGCAACAGGTCCCGGCGCCTTACCCCGGCAGGTCCGCCAGAGGCCGGAGTGCGAGCTCAGGGGCTCAGGCTGGCTGCGGTTGGCGCCCCCCGCGCCGCCCCGCACCCCCAGGGCGCCGCGCTCCAGGCGCCGGGTGTCGATGATGTACCAGAAGTCCGTGCCGATGGCCGCCGCCAGCAGCGCGAAGCTCAGCGCCCCTGCCAGCGCCGCCACCCCCGCCAGCACCGCCAGGGGCACCCGCATGGCCCAGGTCCGGGTCCGCTGCCCGCGCCGCCCAGCTGGGGTCTGGAACCCCAGCCCTGGACCCTGAGCCTTCCTCCAGTCCCTGGCTCCACCCCTCAGAGTGGCCCCTGTTCCCTCAGACCACACGCCCACCCAGCCCAAGCACACCCTCTCACCCCTCCTCGCTTCTTCCCCACCCTTCTCTCTCCAGCCCCCCACCTCACTCTCCGAGAACCCCAAGGCGTTGCCCACTCTGCCCTGCCCTCCCTTTCCACCCTAGCCTTCCTGACTCTCCCTGCACCTCCTCCTCAAAGCCCCCTCCTCCCTCCCAGTGTGTCAGGAGTCCTCCCTAGCCCGCCCTTCCACAGCTCCTGCTCCCGCCCCAAGGTGCACGCCTCCTTCTCTGCATGGGGTGTCTGGCACTGTAGGGGAGAGAAGGTGGCCTTCCACAAACTGAGGGAGTAAGAAGAAGGGGCGCTGTGGGCCTCACAGCCCCCAGGCTTAATGATAATCTTCAGTAGCCTCTCTCCGTTCAGCCTACCTTCAGTTGATTTTTCTAGGCTGGCTACAGGAGAAAAGGGCAGATCCTTTGTTCCCCTAAAAGTTCGTTAAAGCAATGGTCTAGCCCAATGGTCAGCAAACTCATTAGTCAACAGACCCAAATGTCAACAGTACAACAATTGAAATTTCTTTTGAGAGCCAAAAACTGACTTCTGCACATGGGCCATGAAGTTTCAGTAGCACTGTATGTGTACACCTGCACGTGGTATTTTGTGGAAGAGCCACACTCAAGGGTCCAAAGAGCTGCATGTGGCTCACGAGCCTCAGTTTGCTGACCACTGAACTAGGCCAGGTGCTTCCAATCTGTTGTTTCTCCCACCAACGTCTTTATTCATCACTAGAGGCCCAGTGCACAAAATTTGTGCACAGTGTGTGTGTGTGGGGTGGGGGGGTGTCCTCAGCCTGACCTGCACCCTCTCCAATAGGGGAGTCCTCAGAGGATGTCTAATTGTGGGATTGGGCCTAAACTGTCAGTTAGACATCCCTCTCACAATCTGGGACCTCTGGCTCCTAACTGCTCACCTGCCTGCCTGCCTGCCTGCCTGGTCACCCCTAACTGCCTCCCCCTGCCAGCTTGGTTGCCCCTACTAAGGTTTTTTGTTTTTGTTTTTGTTTTGTTTTGTTTTGTTTTGTTTTTGTAATCTTATCCCCTTCACACACAATTGTATTTTTCTTTCTTATTGGCTTCTCCCTCTCACACAATTTTTCTTTCTCCTTTATGTAACACTTTTTCCTACTGACTCATCATTTATAAACTTTTCTTTCCTCCTTATTTCCTATGTCTGTTCCATCATCCTTCTTCTCATCTTTCTCCTCCCCTCTCTTCCTACATTCCTTCTTTCCTATGTCTTTACCCTTTTCCTTCCTTCCCACCTTAAGTTTTTTTCTTCACTTCCTCCCTCAAACCTGCTTTGCTCTCTGCCCCATTTCTTCCTTCTTCCCATTCTTCTTTTAAGCTCTACCAGCTCCCCTTTAAAACTTTTCTTCCCTCCCTCTTTCTCTCTCATCCTGCCTTTCCCATGCATTCTTCTCTACTTACTTCCACTGTTTTAATTTCTATCTACCTGCCTAATTATTCACTATCATTTTTTTTTCTTTTCTGACTTCTACTTTTAAAATCTGCCCCCAGTGTACAACTATACTTGGTTTTCATTACAGCTCCTACAGTTCACTCACACATCCTTTTTCCTTCTCTAACTCTGCTCTCTACTGACTCCTTTATGAAGTTCTTCCCTCCCTACCTCCCTTCTTAAAGCTTCTATTCAGGGCGGGGAGCATTAACCCCCAGCCCAGGGATCAGACCGGCCAGATGTTTGCTGCCCCCCTTCCCCAGCCTCCCCGCAGCTGTCCTGCTTCCATTCCCTGCCCAGGACGCCTGGCCCAGCGAGGGTGTCCGAGTCCCGTGCGGACCGGGCACTGCTGCTACCACAAAGCAGGAGCACCTCCACCCAGAAGGCCTCGGACCGTCCATCACTCCGCCCTGGATCTGTGGATGCCTCCTCACCAATGGCCAGTGCCAGGGGTCACCACCCTCCTCCCATGTCTGCTCCTTCCACCCCCATAGATCTCCCCCCATTGGTTGCCACCCCCTCCATGTGCAGCCCCACGTTTCCTTCCCTTTTCCATTCCTGCGTCTTTTTGTTTGTTTGTTTGTTCCCTTTCTATATTTCTGTTTCTCCTCTGGGCCTGTCTGCATGCGGGCCTGCTTTCCTCTCCCTCTCCTTTCTTATCCTCTCCTATCATATCCACCGCCTTGCAGCTGCCTGAGCAGAGGGCAGGGATATAGCCTGCTGATCAGGTGGTGGCGTGAAGCTGTAATAAATAATTTGTATATTTCTCTATTATCAGTATAGATGATCACAGCCACCATCAGCACTGTCACCACCACAATCACCATTACCATCACCACCATCACTACCATCACCATTACCATTACCATCACCATCACCATCACCACTATCATCACCACTACCATCACTACCACTATCACCGTCATCATCACCACCATCATCACCATCACTACTATCACCCACTACAATCATCACTCCCTACTGTGCACTCCCTACTGGGAATTGAGCCTGCAAGCTGGGCATGTGCCCTTGACTGGAATCAAACCCAGGAACCTGGTGCTCTATATACTGAGCCAAACCAGCTAGGGCACTGGAAGAGGCTTTTAAAATCTTTAGAAAACCAGACTCAGGCAGTTTCCAAAGGCCCCTGGAGGGTATCCTTATGACCACAAGGTCAAAATCTTGGCACTCCTGCAACACATTCTTAAGAAAACGTTGTGCCACCTGGCTGGCATGGCTCAGCGGTTGAGCATTGACCTATGAACCAGCACATGCCAGTAGGGGCTGTGCAGAAGGCAACCGATCAATGATTCTCTCATCATTGATGTTTCTATCTCTCTCCCTCTCCCTTCCTCTCTGAAACCAATAAATATATATTTAAAAAGAAAACATTGTGCCAAGACCAAAAAGTTGATGAATTGGAGAGAGAATCATTATGTTCTTAACATGCTTAGAACAGGGAGCTATGACAGAAAGTGACATATGGGGAGTATCATTTAGATTCAGAATCCAGAAAGTGACTCTAATGCTGAGGAATGCAAGATGCAAAGACATTTCATGTTTAGAGGCGTGCTTATGTGAAGGGTTTAGAACACTTGAGAGTAACTGAAAGAAGAATAATCAGAATAATAGTTATAGAAGAGCAAGTAGAGAGAATTTACATTAAGGGGAATGGGGTACAGGTTGGGACCAAGTCATACAGGGCTTAAGGTTATAATCAAAAGTTTGGGTCCTATCTAAGTCACTTAAATGGCTTTGAGCAGAGAAGTTGAATGTTCTAATTTACATTTGTAAAAATCTGTCTTCACACTGGCATAAACTATAGGGAGAAAGGAAGGGAAGCAAGCAGGACATTGCAGTAGAGACAGCAAGAGACGTTGGTGGCTTAGGATAGGACAGTACCAGCAGTGAAAGGAAGTGAAGTGAACAGATATTTTCAATTGGGGAGGGGAGGTAGAATTGATAGGACTTGGTTCTAGGTTGGGGTTGAGAATTATTATTTTCCTAGTTACTTTATTCTCCTTTACCATCATTTAATCCTCATCAACACATCCGCATCTTCATTATCAGCAGCATCATTAGCACCCTGGACAGAGCTCTCACCAGTGAAAACAACATCCCCCCCTTGAATCTGCACAGCATTCTATTCCATCACCCCTTCAGCCACCACCTTGACTGAGTGGATCTTTCCCATAATCATCACTACTGAAGGCTTTGCTTTCAACTCCGTCACACTCTGGCTGACATCTTTAATTGCACCACTTTCACAACAGTCCTCAGCTGTTCTATCAACATTAGGGGATCTAGATGAAGGTAAAATTCAATGAGGCTGATCCCAGGATCCCCAAATATGTCTTTAAGGTTAGTCTCTCCCTCTGCAATCTCCTTCTGTATACTCTCTCTCTCTCTCTCTCTCTCTCTCTCTCTCTCTCTCTCTCTCTCTCTCTCTCTCTCTCTCTCCCCATCTCTCAGTTGCTTTCCCCTCTCTTGGCTTTATTCTTCAAGCAGAATCTCATTTGTTGGACCCCAGGGCCTACCTTTCACAGCTCAACAACTCCAACAAAAGGAAGGAATCTCTTCTTGGATGGTATTAGCCAGATTTCAAGAACTGAAGCTCATTTGACTGTCTTGGATCATAGTCCCATCTCTTAACAAACCTCTGTGACTCAGAGGGATCGAATACAAGTATCAGCCAAGATTGGGTAACCTGCCCATTCCTTGGTCACCTGCCCACTCCTGCAGCTCAGCCCCACCTTAATCCTTTAAGCTAAGAGGTGTTATGGCTGCCAAAATTCAAGATATCCAGTTAAATTTGAATTTGAGATATACTAAAAATGTTTTACTTTCTTGTTATTGTTGTTGAATCTGAAGTTCAAATTTAACAGAGTGCCCTGTATTTTGTCAGGACAACCTAGCTGGCTCATCAAAGGAAAACAAAGCTGTCATTAGCAGAATGTGAAGGTGCCATGGTAAACAAAAACAGCAGATACTCCTCCACCCTCAGGCACACGTCCCTTCCCTGGATCCCACTTTCCTCACATATATAAAGAGAAATAATCTACCTGAATCGTGTGCAGCCACTCTAAAAAGAACAGAAAGTAATGTTTTCCAATGAGTCTGTGGAGGAGTGGAGCACATCAAACATCAGATGGTATCGTGGCTCAGCCAGTCAATGGAAGAGGCAGGAGAAAACCTGAGCCCCTGAGGCAGAATCCCAACAAGCCATAGCATTTCAGGTAGAAGCTATGCCAGGGCACCCTGCAGGTTACTAGTGTTGCGTAGAACAACATTCAGCAGGGATTGTACAGGCTGCTTTTGAGTCTGGAACCAGCATCTTACAGGCTGGGTAAGCCCAGGGAAGTTACCTCCCTTCTCTGAGCCTCAGTTTCCTCAGTTGTAAAGTGGGGGTACTCATGCCTACCAATCCCAGGTGTTATTATTAAAATATGGAAGGAGACTTGACTATGGGTGATGAAAACACAACACAGTATACAGATGGTGTGTTATAGAATTGTATATCTGAATCCTGAAGAATTTTATTAACCAATGTCACCCCAATAA